GGGAAACCGCATGCCCAAGATCCCTGACGCAGCGGACGAGATCAAGGTCCTTTGCGCAGCGAAGGGCAACTTGGAGGAGCGGCAGCTGCAGACCACGCATCTCCCGCACACGCCGACGCGCTAGGAGGCTGCGCGCAGCAGCCTGCAGCCTCACTGCCGCCGAGACGTGGCGGGTAGGGATCCAAGACGGAAGTGGTGACATCGACGGCGGGGACTTGATCTGCTGGATGTGGACGCCCTGGGATGGCGGCGGCGCTGATGGGAACGAGGTCGTCGCAGTCCCGTCGTAGGGCATCCCATACTGGGCGGCGGAGCTGACCGGCGATGGCTGCAGCTGCAGCAGCGGCTGCTGCCGCGGAGCGCCGGGTGCGGCGGAGGCCGCCAGGAGCGGCGGCTGCCACTGTAGCCAGGGCTGGGCGGTGGTGGCGATGGATGGCAGCTGCAGCGGCCCGGCGAGCGTGGTGAAGGCCGCCTAGTGCGGCGGCTGCCATGGCGGCGCGGGGGCGGCGATGGGCGGCGCAGCCGGGTGCGGCCCGTAGGACCCGGCCAAGAACAAGTGGATCTCCTGGACCGCCTGGGTTAGGTCCCGCAGCACCCCGGACACCTCCTCCGGGGTGAGGAGAGGACGGCAGGGGCGGGCGCGACGGAGGATCCTGGCGCGGGCAGGAGCGGGGCGACGAGGTGACCGGCAGCGGAAGAGACGGGCTTGGCGGCGGTGAAGACATGATCAAACCGAAGCTAGCGGATACCAAATTGTTATGGCGCTGCTAGAAGGAGGGCGCGAGAGGGCCGGCCGGGGGCCTTTTTGCCCACGGCCGGGCAAGAGGGAAGGGATTTCCTTCTTAATTCTTGCTTGATTAGATTGATATACATCTCCTCTCTTTATATAGAGATGTTTACTTGACTCCCAAGCAAGGCTTACTTGACCGCTAAGCAAGCGACCCTTATCTCTAATTAACCCTAAGACTAACGGGCTATACCGCCAGCCCAGGCCCATTAGGCCCATTACGCACTCTAACAACATGCTACCTTCACTGGCTTAAGGGGCCTCGTGTGGTGCTCCAATTGGACCAGACGCGCGTTCGGCTCCATATCCTAGGCACTGCTCTTTAGGTGCTTTGTCGGGCAGGGTTTGGACCTTGCTTCCGCGAGTTGGTTTCCATCATCCTTTCCACGGTCAGCACACAGGTGTTTTTGATTGGAGAATCGGGGCTGCTGGTGCGGCACAGCAAGGGGCTGTGATAGGGGGTTCCGCTCTCCCCCATGCTGTTTCCATTGAACCGGCTATGGAGGTCCATATACTCCAATGTCTCGCACCGTGGGCCTTGACGTCCAGTTGTTAAGATCAAGGGCCAAGGAATAGAGGGGGTGAATAGTTCTCCGAAAATCACTACTAATTTTAACCAAGCTGGCGGTGCTTAGAGCAACTAATATTCTAGTTGATCCTTGTGACTAAAGAAGCAAACGAGTTAAAGAGTATGGCAGTGGAATAGAGTACCTTGCAAGAAAGTAAATGGTGATTGAGAGGATGCAAACACAAGGGGCTCAACGATGTTTTTCCCGTGGTACGGATAGTTGACACTCTCCTACCCCACGTTAACGGAGGCTTCGAACCAAATGGTTCTAGGATCATTCGGGGATCTTCGGTTGTGTCACCCACCAAGGGCCCACCAAGCACAACCAAATCCACCATGGCTTCCAAGAAGCCTCACTAAAGGTTCTAGGATCACTTGGGGACCTTCACAAAGTAGGTGATCTCCTTGCCCTAAAAAACTCTTGAGTTCTTCACACATTGATGACAAGGACTCTCAAGTGACTCCTAACCGTTTAGGAGGTGCATATCCTCCAAGAGTAACAAGCAAAGCAAAGTCACTTGGTAGTACTTACTCAGAAGATCTTCAATCAAAGTATCTGTCATGAACCCATAGGATCTCTCACATAGGATATGATTGTGGTGAAAATGATATGAAATTGAGGTGCAGGGTTCAAGAAAGGGAGTAGGTTTTGGCCTCAAGAATCAAGAAGTGTTCTTGAAATCACCCAACACTTGTCTTCTCGTCTTCTTTATTGCCTTGGAGCTCTCTCTATCTCTTGTGGCAGTTGGATGGAGTGAGGAGTGGGGTGGTTGCTTCCTTGCTGCCATGGAGGGGTATGGGGTTCTATAAATAGAGAGAATTTAAAATCTGCCCGTTATCTTGAAAAGATAACTAGCCGTAAGTAGTAGACGAAAATCTTCGGAACTTCTGAGCACGTTTAAATATTTGACATAAAACACAGTAGTTGGAAGTACTGGCAGAAAATAGAGCTGTGGTTCCGAACAGTAAAAGGTGGATCTTTTCTGCGAGAATAAAACTGGCTCAGAAGTATTGGGTGAAACTGTTTGCTCGGTAGTACCGCAGTAGACAAAGCAACCCTCAAATGGGAATTATTGTGCAGAAAAGCCAAAGTCACATCTCAGAGGTACCAGACAAAACTTTCACCGAGGTCCAGGACCTATATTGTGACCACATAGAGAAGCAAACCGAGAGGGCTTGGAAGTTACGGCCGGAGGTGCCAGAGCTAACAGAGAATGTCTGAATCAGAATTGGCTCGGCAATACCGAGACAAAAAAGGTGTGGTAGTTCTGGCTCCTGGATGGGTTATCTCTATAGAGGAGTAACTCTTAAGTGGCCTGGTAGTACTGAAAGAAAATCTTCGGTGGTAGTGGGGCTTAGAGATACTAGAAATTTGAGTTGGCTGGTTGGATTTTATAAGAACTTTGGTCTAGGATCTTTTCTTGGAGTTCAATTGTGCCCCTCTCGATAGAATGGTTGTCCTATACTGAACGTGAATCTTGGATTCACCAAAAACCTAGAAATTACAATCTACTCCCTCCGTTCCTAAATATTTGTCTTTCTGGAGGTTTCAACAAGTGACTACATACGGAGCAAAATGAGTGAATCTACACTCTAAATATGTCTATATACATCCGTATGTGATAGTCCATTTGAAATCACTAGAAAGATAAATATGTAGGAACGGAGGGAGTACAAGCTTGTGGTAGACAAAAAGTTATAGGTAGAGGTCATTTGTTGATTAAAATCGTTAGTCCTCTCTAATGGTTTTGTCATAAATCACCCAAACCCAATAGGTGTATCTGACAAATCTCCTTCTTTTTGGTCATTGATGACAACACCATTGAGTATATATAGCATAAATATGATGAAAATGTGCAGATTTAGGTACTTGTCATACAATTTGAGCTCCTCCCTATTTGTGTGCATTATTTGAAATTTGCTTCTAGAATGCAAATGCACATTCATTAGGTACTGTGGATACATCAAATCTATGACACATTCCAAAGGAGTGCATTGTGTGTACAAGAAAGTTAACAAAATCCCACTTGAGAAACAACACAAGCAACACATTTGAATTACATTGATGATAGGATAAACGCATAAAAGAGTAGCATTGCATGTCTCACATAACACAATAGTATAGTTTACAAGACACGCAAGAAGATTACACATGATCTTGCAAATAAGAATCAAGTCTTGTAACTAACAAAACACAGCATACTAACAAACCCTCTCCCCCCGAAACAAGGAGACCCCAAAAGCCTATACTCACATCTCCCCCTTTGGCATCAAGACACCAAAAAAGTTAGAGAGAGCAACTATCGAACCCAAAATGCTTCCAAGAAGATACATGACCACTTCTGTAAGTGACCTGGTCAAGCTTCCTATGGAAAATATGCAATAAGCAAGAATATGGGATAAAAGCTTTGGCACAAAATTGGTGTGGTCAACTGGCATTTAGAATTTCTTTTATACTTGGTTCCTTGTATGTTCGGTTCACTAGTGTCAACTGGTCTTTATGGCTTTATCAAACACTTCTTCAACATGTTTAGTTCAACCAGTTAGCCCATGGTTATAGTTATGCATATGTGTCTGAACCTTGAAGACCCAAAACAGCGTAACATGCTGAAGATAGCCGCATTACATGTCTGCAGGTGCTTGGTAGACACCAGTTGAGAACTTGAGATGAGAGATGAACTGGAGAGAATAGTTTGATTGTTCTTGCTTGACTCAAAAGCAGATACATGATGTCCTTATATAAAGCATGCTCAGGTTTTTGACCTCTCCTAATATGATTGGGGCTGGTAGACCTTTTGAAATACGGTTGGACTCTTCAATAATCCAATTCATTTGTCACCGTCTCTGTTGCTATTCTCTCTCATGATCTCCCATGCTGCTGCTCCTTGATACAGTAGACTCATGTCCACATAATACGGTTGCCCTTTTTTAATATGTTATGAACTCATGATGCACCGGATCTAATCTGAGATGAGGCGCATTTATTTAAACTAGTTGGCATAGCAATGCACTTTGGTCTTCTAAAGTATCTATGCAGTAAACATGTTTCATTTCTTATTCAAACAGCCATAGACGATGTATTGCAATTTCTCAAGGACTCTCTTCCAGATGTACCAATGGCTATTGCTCATGGAAAGGTTAGTCGGCTAAGCTGATTCAGAATGCAAGAATTCTGCATTTACAACATAATATCTTGAATACTATCTACATTTGTGTGCACTGCTTTGTGTTAAAGGCCAAAGTGCAAGTTTCTACTAATGAAGTTTAGGCTATCTAGTTAGGAAATATGCAACTTATATTTACTGGGGGCCATTCGCTGGTATATATACATGTATAAGTGGTAAATATGCAGGAAACCCCTCATACAATGGGGAAAATATAGAGGCTATACATGGAACATAATATAGCTCTTTAACACATTTGATGTTAGAACTTCGATACTTATTTATGTTCTTGTTGCATAGATGAATGGTGCTTTGGCTTCAATGACCAATCTTATTGCTATATGTTTTTCCCACAGAAAGTGTCAAAGAATATACAACTTGCTATGGAAAAGTTTTCTTGTGGGGAAATAAAGATTCTTGTATGCACACATATCATTGAAAGTGGAATAGATATTCCAAATGCCAACACAATGATTGTCCAGTATGCAGAACTATTTGGGCTCGCGCAGCTGTATCAGGTGGTTTTAGTTCTCAGTGTTTTACTTTGCCTTTTTTTTGGCAAAAAAATTGTTGTATGAAATCTGAGGTCTGGACCTCAAGTTCGCTGCTTTTCTTTTCAACCGCAGTTGCGAGGAAGAGTAGGAAGATCAGGCAGAGAGGGTTTCACATACCTCTTCTACACTGACAAGTCTTTGCTTTCCAGAATTGCCATGGTGAGCTGCTGCAAGAGTGCTTTATAATTTTTTGTTTTTGTCTAATATATTTATGCTCATAGCATTCAATGTACCTGATGCTGAAAGCATATTCAAACATCAACATAAAATGTTCTAACCACCATCTCCAGCTTCTCCTTTCTTTCCTGCAGCTTTAAGGCATAATATAATGTTCTCCAGCCCTTACTGAACTTTGCATGAGTATTAGTTCATTGTCTAAGCAATTTTCTGATAAGTGGGGTCACCTTCTCTTGGTGGTTCTAGAAGCAGCACTCAAGAGTCTGGGGTACTAATATACTCCATCTCCATTCTTCTGGCATCTTGTTTGCCCCAAAAATGAGGTTGAAAAGCTTGGTTAGCCATACTATTGCTATGTCCCCGAGGCCTTTCCACACCTCAATGGGGATACAATCAGGGCCCATCGCCTTGCCTCCTTTCATCCTTTTTAAAGCTTCCTTGACCCCAGACTCTTGGATTCGCCGCACAAAACGCATGCTGGTCTCATCAAAGGAGTCACCCAGTTCAATGGTAGAACTCTCATTCTCCCCATTGAACAGCTTGTCGAAGTACTCCCGCCATCTATGCTTAATCTCCTCGTCCTTCACCAAGAGTTGGTCTGCTCCGTCCTTGATGCATTTGACTTGGCCAATATCCCTCGTCTTCCTCTCTTGGATCTTGGCCATCTTATAGATGCCCCTTTCGCCTTCCTTCGTGCCTAACCGTTGGTAGAGGTCCTCATATGCCCGACCCCTTGCTTCGCTTTGCGGCCTTCGCCATCTTGTACTTCTCTATGTTGTCTGCACTCCTATTCAGGTATAGGCGTCTGAAGCAATCTTTCTTCTCTTTTATCGCCTTCTGGACATCACATTCCACCACCAGGTATCCTTATCTTCGCTTCTCCTTCCCTTGGACACTCCAAACTCCTCTGAGGCCACCTTACAAATGCAAGTCGCCATCTTCATCCACACATTGTCCGCATCCCCTCCTTCCTCCCAAGGGCCCTCCTTAATGTCCCTCTCCTTGAACGCCACAATCATGTCGTAGGCTAGAGCAAATCTTAAGACATCTTCTCCTTGATTCTTGATGCCATAGCCAAAGCCCCCATGTGCCCCTTCAAAACCTGTGTTAGATGTACCCACGTGGCCATTGAGGTCTCCTCTTATGAAGAGCTTCTCGCCAATCGGTACACTCCTAACATGTCTTCCAGGCCTTCCTAGAACTCCCTCTTGGTGTTCTCATTGTGGCCTACTTGCGGGGCATACGCGCTGATAACATTGAGAACTAAGTTAAGTCCCCAACTACCAGCTTGACCAGGATAATCCGGTCCCCACGTTTCTTGACGCCTACCACTCCATACTTGAGGCTCGTGTTGATCAAGATGCCTACGCCATTTCTGTTGCAGCCGTCCCCGTGTACCACAACTTGAAGCCGGTATCCTCCACCTCCTTCGCCTTCTGTCCCCTCCATTTGGTTTCTTGGACGCAAAGGATATCAACACCTCTCCTCATCGCTGCATCAACTAGCTCCCGAAGCTTCCCTGTCAGAGACCCTACGTTCCAGCTACCTAAGCGAATCCTCCTAGGCTCGGCTAGCTTCCTTACCCTTCGCACTCGTCGATTCAAATGCGAAGACCCTTGTTCATTTTCCACTACATCCGGGCACCGATGTAGCGCGCCACTAAGGATGCGACGACCCGATCCTCGCTCACTTGCCACCGTATCCGGATCAAGATACGGCGCGCCACCAGGGGGGTGACGGGTTTGCAACCACATCCGGGTTCCGATGTGGCGCGTCGCTGAGAGGGTTACGCCCCAACGAAAATCTTTTGGGTTTTATCTCCATAATAAGAGTGGTGAGTTTTTACGTTGGCTCGCCAAACCTATCACAACCCTCCTCCTTTACCTGGACCGGCTATGTTGAGACAACATAGGCGGAGTTACACTTCAACACAAACGACCCTTTTTAGTGGTGGCGAGAAGTTTCGTTAGATTTCTAGACCAACTCTCTTCCCCGTGCCTCGCCGTGGATCTCGGGGTAGTGCCGGCGATTGTAACATCCCCGGGTGGTACAGAACTCTATATTGTCTATGCTCATCCTGCTTAGCCCTATTGCAGCCTATCAAGTACTTTCTTTGGTGCCTGCATGGAGAACGTACCCAGTGCACCAGCCCAACTGATGCACCGGCTGCACCAATGGCTTTTGAGCTGTTGCCTGTTGGACATGGAACTGAGGGTTGGGAGTAGGCTGCAAGATGGACTGATCAAACATTTGCAAAAAGGACCTCATACTATGCTAAAATCAACCCCTGCTTCACTCTCCTTTCCTATAATTGAATCAATGTCATTTCTTTCTCCAAACATAAATATGTTCATATATGTTGAGCCATACGTCTGAATTTGATTTTAATCTGACCACCATTTTTCTTTTGAAGAGATGTTTGAAACAAGATCAATGTTGAATATATTTTTCAAAATTGTCTTTTTTTTTCAAACTTAACCATAACACATATTTTTTATATTAAAACTTAGATTTATTTTATAAGTTCTGTAACTTTGCCTCTCCCTCCATACATCGATCCCACGTACATATGCTTAAATTATGTTACAAAAATATAAGAAATAGAATTTCAAAAACATATTCAACACTGATCTTGTTTCAAAGATCTCATCAAGACAAAGTTGCCAGTCAAGATGGAATCGAAACCAGACATTTGCTTCAAAATATATGACCATTGTTGTGTTTGGGCTAAAAAAAATTAAACGCACAGATTTATTGATGGAAGAGTGGGATGTGAAGTGCGGGTTGAAACTACAAGGTTGCTTCTGCAAATATGATGTGGTCCAACTTTTGACCAAAATCTGATCCGTTGCTTTTTTCATCTAGTGGTCCAAAAGCTATTGGTGCACCTGGTTCACAGACTGGGCTGGTGCAGCGGATATGTTCTTGCCTACATGTCCCAAGCTTAATCACATGCACTGTTTGTTCCATTGCTTTTTCTTGTCGAACACACATCTAAACGCTCGTCATTTTGTATGAGAAGAACGGCACACTAAAACTGCAGAAGTTGTAGAGGTATCTGGTGGTCTGGCTTGCAACGACAATCTCCAAAGCTCTTTAGTTCCAACCAACTTCTCACTGCTCTGCCTCGATCAATATCACCTCAACCAAAGCCCCGTTAAAGATGCACAAGTAGTGCAGAAGTGGAATCCGCTAGAGTCAGGATGATGGGCGTATGCTCTGCAGCTGTTTCAAGCCATAAATTGAGCTTGTCGTCTACAGGTCCAATACTCCCAATTTTGGCACCATTGCAGCGGCTCAATAGGTTTAAGATTCAATAGCTTTCTCATTCTACTCTTTCACAGAGTAATGCTGAACATCAATTTGAAAGCGATGATAGAAGCAGGAGTTCCTTCAGGCTGTTAGATTTATATACATTTAGCCGTGTTCCCCTTTGTATTTCTCCCTTTCTATAAGGGGTCTTCTGCATATTATACCACATCTGTACGTGTATATATACTGGCCTATGGCCACCTGGAAATACAATAACAACAACAACAACAACAAAGCCTTTAGTCCCAAACAAGTTGGGGTAGGCTAGAGGTGAAACCCATAAGATCTCGCAACCAACTCATGGTTCTAGCACATGGATAGCAAAGCTTCCACGCACCCCTGTCCATGGCTAGTTCTCTGTCGATACTCCAGTCCTTCAGATCCCTCTTTACGGACTCCTCCCAGGTCAAGTTCGGTCTACCCCGACCTCTCTTGACATTATCGGCGCACGTTAGCCGGTTGGCATGCACTGGCGCTTCTGGAGGCCTGCGCTGAATATGCCCAAACCATCTCAGATGATATGGCCACCTGGAAATACAAGTTGCATATTTCCTAACACAAGCATCCAAGAAAGAAGTAAAGATCGAAATCGACCTTTCCAAGAAGAATGCCAAGTAAACAGATTTTTCAGAGTACTCGCCAGAAGATGTCCACTGTCCAGTGCCAAAACAAATGATCCTCCAGCTCTTTAGATAATCATATTTGATTGACTATGGCAGCTAGGTTAGGGTACCCCATGATTCCCTTGGACACCAAGCTCGTTTGTGATGTCGTGTACCCATAGGCCTTGAGGTAGATCCTCGCTCTGTCATCCCCCAAACTGTGTGTGTGTGTGTGCGCGCGCGCGCGTGTATCTGCCAACTGCCATAGAACCATAGTTGTGAGTGTTAAGGAGTAATAGTATAGGTCCAGGTCTCTCTACGTAGTCGTATTAGTCTATATTTCATTTCTTTTACCTCAAGTCTTTTGTTCTATATATTTGCCCCATGGGCTTTGCATTACAATCTGGTATCAGAGGCTAGGTTTCTCTCTCTCATGTGCAACACATGCTCTTCTTCCCCACAGATCAGTTTTTTTTTGTTAGCATTAGTATCGGTATATGTCTCTTTATGTACTCATATTAGTCTTGATTTCCTTCCGTACCCCAAGTCGATTGTATTATATATTTCCCCCTTGGGCTAGGCAATACATGTACGTTGCTCCTCTAGCATGGTACCAAAGCCCAGGTTTAGTTGTTTTTAAGCACACCACTGCTCGTGCTCTCGGCCGATTCGAGTCCGTGACCAAGGATAACAGCGAGTTCCATGGTTGATTGCCCATTAATCCATCTGTCCAGCTAGAATCTCATTTGCTCCTCGTTGCCGAAGATCGCCGTTGGTGATGCATGTAGCATCAACATGACAATCCAGCTTCAATTCATCCTCAACTACTGAAAGCTACAATTCCTCCACTACACAGATTGGGCTTTTGGGGAGAAAGAAACTCTTTACACATCCATTATGCTTTTTCAACAAGAGGTCCCACATAAAACAGTAAGTTTTTTTCAAAACCTTCCTTTGGAAGGCCAGGAGATCATCTTACCTTGAACATTACAAGGCAATGTTCTGTTTAGGACAGACAATAAATTCCAACTTCATTGACCCAAAATATAGCTAACTTTAAACAATGTGTTTTCCCTGCAATCTAATAGATCTTTTCATATCTTCATCTGCAAACTTAATGTTTCCATCTGCAGGATAGACTTGGAGCTATTGAAGAGCATTCTGATCTCGGTCAAGGTTTCCATGTCGCAGAGAAGGATATGGGTATTAGGGGATTTGGAAGCATGTTTGGTGAGCAACAATCTGGAGACGTTGCAAATGTTGGCATCGATCTGTTCTTTGATATGCTTTTTGATAGCTTGTCCAAGGTATCGTCATTTTAGTCAACCGCAAGTTCTGAGAGGTGTGCCTCCCATTTTAATTAATACTAGATGATACCCCCGCGTTGCTGCAGGAATTAGTTGCAATATACTTGAATGAGATTTGGTTGTAGAAAGCATGAATATTAGAACTAAAGCTGAAAAATATATGATTTATTGTACTTGATTATTGTATAGTTATAAAATATTTATTGAATATAAGTACCATACTAGCACAATATAACATTAAATTCCATGCATGGTTGGATTTTGAGGTGCGCCTTTTCCCATACATGGTTGCATGTTGAGGTGGCATGCTTGCATGTTGAGATAAATAAGTTAGTGGGGATCATCTGTTTAGTTATATACTCCCTCCTTCCCAAAATAAGTGTCTCAACTTTAGTACAACGTTGTACTAAGGTTAAGACACTTATTTTGGGACGGAGGGAGTATGATATATGATATATTGCTTTCCACTATCACAAAAGCTACCTACTTGTTCTGTTACAGAAAAAGTCCAGTTTAGTCCCTCAAACTATTCATAAGGAGTGTTTTACCATTTAGTCCATTTTGTGTCTCACCTAACCACCTCAACTTTTAAAACTGCATCACTTCACCTTTTACGATGATTTCTAAGGTGTTTATGCCCTTGTAGCAGCCACTGAACCTGGTTTTGCATATGTGTCAGCTGCATCATGCTTTCGTCCTCTCCAACTCCCATATCTCCCTCGCAAAATCTGTTATATGTCGCCGCTTATTTTTTTGTCGAGCATGTGTTCTCATGCTCACGTTAATCCAAGCATCTGATACTTCATCAACATGCTCTTTGCTGATGGGCCATAGAATTTAGTGCCCTCATGCTCACGTTGATCCAAGCATCTGATACTACATCAACATGCTATTTGCTGATGGGCCATAGAATTTAGTGCCCATTCTCCAACTAGAAAGGTAAATCCAAGCATGCATCTATCCCCTTGTTCTCGGACCCCCTCTCTGGTTAGGACAGTGAGGCTGCCTGTGGTGGCCCCAAAGGCACTTTGTGTTCGTGGGCGCTACTACCTTTAGAAAACCATTATAGTCGGTAGAGTGAACTGGTGTTGGAAGTGGGGTTAAGCGAGATGGAAAATAGTTAGGTGTCAAGTACCCCTCATTGATAGTTCCATGGAGTAAAGTGGACTTACTCCTTCTATGATCATCGTTGTTCCATGCTGCCTAGTGGATTTGGCAATCAGTTTATTTTTATATCCTCTTAGATAACCAACACAAAAACTGAACCATATCTTTGCACCATTCACGGTCCAAGTCTTGGCACATTTTATAAGCCATATCCGGTTATGTAAAGGCTGTTCATAATACAAGCTATTATTCTACTTCCCATATATGTATTTATGTATTTGCATTGGTGGTGCTAAACCGCTAGTTCATGTTGGAATTGATCTTGTTATTGGTGTTAAGCATATAGGATTAGATCATGTTTAATTTGTTGTATGGTGTCATAGCCATGTAGAGTTGCATCAGTGTTACTAAGTTATGGTTAGTTGCATGCTCGGCAACATGGTGTAGCAGCTGAATCAGCAGCACAGAGATAGAGCGAGTGCATGCGAGTGGATCGGAAAGCTAGGAGATGAGCGGGCGTGACTTTGCTTTAGTTAGACTTAGTCATGTACGTGTGTATTAGGTGACCAAGGGACTAGTGCATGTGGAGAGATGTGACCTACGTGCACATGTATTAGTGTGGTCAGGCTGTGTTGGTGTGAGGCTGCATGCATACAGTTTGTTTGGCCGAGTCGTTGCCGTTGAGGAGAAGCCGTGCAAGTGCCGGACGTGTGCGTGTGTAGCTAGCCTGAGAGAAAAGTGGATCAAGCAGTTGTGTGCTTGACCATGTGTGTGCGTGCGCGTGAGTTATATAAAGCCATGTAACCAGGTTGGTTAGTATGTGATGAGAGGAAAACGCTCTGGCTAAAAGGCATCAGCCGAGCACCAGATAAATTCCTGCGTGTGTGTTCTTCTTTTGTTCACCACCCTTGTGTTAATCTCCTGGGCTATAAGACAGCTGTTCACCTGGTGCTGTGTTACGATGCGGTAGTCGTCACATGGTTATATATTTCCTTGTGGTTTCTTGTGGCGCATATACATCGCATAATGTTTATTAGTGTCTCGTTCATGGGGTCTATATCATGGTGAGCTTTATGTCTTGTAGTTATTCATCGGAGGAAAACCAATGCATTTCCATCTTTGCCCTCATTGTGCGTGCAATGTATTTGTATTTCAGTATTGTTATTTTAAAGATGTTTAACTCATTCTGTGAGCCAAATTTCCTTCTAAAAATTATGTCATGGTGTGTTTTTTGATGTGATTATTTTGAGTCTTGACAATTTTTTTTTCTGCTTTTAGGTTGATCACTTTCGTCTTAAACCCATTCCTTATAAAGATGTTCAGGTAAACCTAAAACATCTCATTTGTTGTGTCAAATAGCTTCATGTAATCATGACTAATTTCATTCAAATGATTTTTTACCTTCTTGTATTCATGAATGTTACTCCCTCTGTAAAGAAATATAAGAGCGTTTAGATGACTACTTTAGTGATCTACACACTCTTATATTTCTTTAGGAGGGAGTACATCTGATTTGCTATATTCTTTCCACAGCTGGACATTAACATTTCTCCGCATCTCTCTTCTGAATACATAAGTTATCTTGAAAATCCTGTTGAATTGCTCAATGAAGCAGCGAAAGCTGCAGAACAAGATATATGGAACTTAATGCAATTCACAGAAGATCTTCGTCAACAGTATGGGAAGGAGCCCCGTGATATGGAGGTCTGCTGTTGCTAAAATTTCATGTGGATATTAAGTGTTGATGATGTTAAATTTTTGTCCCTTCTTTTTTGTGTAGTTGCTATTAAAAAAGCTCTATGTAAGGCGGATGGCAGCAGATCTTGGTATCAGCCGGATATATCCATCTGGCAAAATGATCATCATGAAAACAAACATGAACAGGAAAGTTTTTAGGCTCATGGAAGAAACCATGGCTTCTGAGACGCATCGCAATTCTTTGTCATTCACTGGAAAGGAAATTAAGGTAAATATCAACAGTCTCCACATAGATCCGCTGTGAAAAGTAACAATGTGCAAGGGACAATGGTATGTAATACGGACTAGTATGCGAGAAACCCCACTTGAAGGAATCACTGAAAAATGTTGGTCTGCTAGGTTCATACATAATGGATTAGAGTCTACAATGCTTTTACATAACGGATTAAAATCCACAATGCTTAATACTCCCTCCGTCCCAAAATAAGTGTCTCAACTTTGTACTAGCTCCAGTACAAATTTGTACTAAGCTCAAGACACTTATTTTGAGACGGAGGGAGTAGTTTCATGTCCAGGAATCCATTGAATAGTGCTCCCTCTGTTCCCAAATATAAGGTATTATTTTTTTCAAAAAGTCAAACTCTTCTATGCTTGACCAAGTTGTTGATATTTTTTCCATAGAAAACTTGGTCAAACATAGAAAAGTTTGATTTCTTGAAAATAATAATACACCTTATAGTTTGGAAAGGAAGGAGTACTAAATAAGTGAAAATAATTGGTTGCCGACACGCGATAGCACATTGACTCCATATATCCATAAGTTCTTCTATATTGCCAGTGTTGTACGGTTAATTTGTTGCATATTATTTGACATGTTCTCTTTTGGTGTCATGTTTTATGCATATACTTCATTTCCCCCTGAAAAGGACTGTAAACGCTGGACATGGCTTGCATGCTCATTGGTTTTGCTCCCATCCGTGCTCCACACCTACTTAATGAGCATTGGACAATTGTCTCCCTTTCGTCTCTCCAAACGTGTTTTCCCTTGAAAAAACAAATTGTAATACTATCAGAAATACCGATTATTCTCGTTATACTAGGACAACATTTAAACTGGAGGGAAATATACATGGTTGAGCGTGCCAATGCATCCAGAATACATGGCTGAATGCCACATCTCTTAATCATTTACTAATACATACAAAACCATAGAAAATGTACCACTAATACAAACAAGAACAGATGAATTAACCAGACGGTAACAGAACAAATTAGCGACCTGGAGGCTGAAGCTCATCAATCAGCGACATTGGCCTTACCACAGCTCGAAGAAGAGGCAAATCCTTCAAATCACCAGTGAGCTGGAGTTGAAGCGAAGCAACCTCTCTTGTTCTCTGATGGCTTCTTCAAGGATTGATGCAGGGAACCATGAGGATCATGCCGAATTCACTCATAATTTTTCTTCAAGGTCTCATCCAATCGTATCCACTCTTGTGCTTCCCATCCTGCAATTGTAACCTATGCACAACTGGTGTTGAATCGGCCGCCAAGCTCTTCCATGATGCAGTATCCTCAACTTGTCCACATATAATTTTACTCTGTATTGTTCGATAATACTCTTGAAGGGGAGCCTTGGCACAGCGGTGAAGCCGTTGCCTTGCAGCCGTTGCCTTGCAGAAATGCAGGGAAAGGCTGCATAGAAAAGACCAAAAGTGGTCGGACCCTTCCCCGGACCCTACACAAGCGGGAGCTACGTGCACCGGGCTGCCCTTTTTTTGTTGTTGGATAATACTCTTATAATGCAGGTAATATAATTTTAAACCCTGTTCCATAAATCCATTCAAATCACGGATTGTGAGTGCAATACCTTGTTCAACAATTCAGGTTCAGCAAGTTGTGCTGTCATGTGTCTGTGCACCTAAAGTGTTGCTCGAGTCTTTCTTAGTTACCTACATAAAAACAGATGAAGAAATTACATTTAACAAAAAGACAACATAACTTTAGATGTATGTTTCCTTTGCAAGGGAGATAAACTTGTGTACAGAACCAGCTTTTACTGCATTAAGGTTGTGACCAAAGTTAATACAGATTACTGAAAGGATGATTGTGTAAAGCACAAACCAGCATCCAAAAAAAATTCTTGATCAGGGAAAAGTAGAAAGTGAAGACAGACCCTTAAGACTATAAGGAGAAATGAGTTTATAAACTGGTATCACATCATAAGTCAAAGGTATGACAAGTCAAAGGTGCCATTGTACCAAAGCCTCCTTGGTTCTCCAACTCTTCTGACTACACAAATGACATAGCCACACAGCACACTTGCCTGATCAGACAAAAAGGGCACAATTCTGATTAAGAATTTGATCATCAGCAATGACTATCATCAGACTATAAAGTTTCCATTCTTGCTGGCCATAGCATAATTAAATTATCAAACAGTTTGGCCACTCCTTTATTATCAAGAATTCACAAATCCAAGAGATTGAATTATCTTAGATCTATATCATCACAAATATTTAGTATTCCAAATTGGGGACATGCTCCCCTTGACAAGACTACTCTTGACAAGACTTTTATAGTCCACACAAGCAAGTGCAACATTTATTTCCATACCCCATAGTAACTGATATTTGATAATCAAACTGAAGCTATAACTTTGAGAGATGGAAGGGTCAGCTAAAAGATTATACACACACACACACACACACACACACACACACACACATATATATATGTAAATATAAATATATATAAATTCTTTTTTGCAGGGTATATATATATAAATTCAAATTGGCGCCTTTGGTTCTTTGTACGACTGGTACTTTTTCTCCAGCTTCAGTTTAGTTGGTTGGACTACTTTCCGAGAATCAACTAACCGACAAATCCATAGCCCAGGTATGCGCCAGAGTTGCCACAACGACCGTAGCTATCAATGGAGGTGCCGAACTCTAGCGGTTTAAGTTTCCATGGTCACACCCGCCACCTTGGTCACCATCATAGCCATTGTAGCCGCTGCTGCCGCTGTTTCCTCTGTAACCATCGGCATAGGCAGTACTCTCATTGGAGTGGCCACCTCTGCCTTGTCGTGTAGCCTACACCGCAGAGCGTGAGTCTGTCACCTCATGCATTCGGTTTTGGACCATCCAAGTGCAAGAGAAAAAAATAATTTCGTAGTTTGATCATTGAGTGTAAAAGGTACACCGTGGGTTACTGGGCTTTGAAGAAAGAAAATGTTATATTCTAGACTAACATTAGATATGTTGATGGTTAGCCTAGAGTATGGTATCATGCATGACATGATTTTGATTTTCCTTGCGTACATCATGCATGTCTGTAGCTTTAGGGTGTGTTTGGTTCGAGTCATCAGCTGGAACATAATGGGTCCGTCCCGCCCCCATAGGCTATTCTCGCGTTTGGTTCAGTCGAGGAACGAGAACCCCTCGTTATAGAGAATGGCATATTCCCTCCATATGCGGAACCTGCTCGTACCTCCGATTTGATGGAATCACGTGGATCGGCTCTTTGATCTCAAACCCTCCCACGACTCACTCACCCCAAAGGCCCAAACCCCGTCTTATCTCAGCGTCGCCGCCCCTCTCGATCTTCCACCTGCGCCGGCGACTCCCATGGATCTCGCTCTCTCTGACGGCGGACTAGGAGCGCGGCGAGTGAGCAGGTACGGTGGCTGGTACGAGCGAGGTGGGCGGCGAGATGGTATCCGGCGGCAGCGGTGGCGATTGCCAAGGAAGCCATGACGTGGTGTGAACTACCTCCGCTCCGAGTCCTTCATCACGCCTGAAAAGAGCAGAGCGGTAGATTTTGTTGCCATTTGCCTGGGATTAGAGCAGCGGCTGCAACGCATCAATGCATCAGAAAGCACAGGAAAGGAGCAGCGGCCCTGGCAGTACGGAAGAGGAGTAGCGGCTGCAACCAGGGAGCTCTTGATCTCACCCATCTGGATTGATTTTAGGGACTAACTAGATCTCTGATGGCGCGCGTTGCCGCGCCCGGCAATTGTTACTATGGAATAATAGAATTTTACATAAATAAAGTGCCACAAGATATATTTTAAAATTTAGATGGTGCAAATAATGGAAAAATATTGTAGTGCTCAGCCATACTAAGTAATGCATCAGACTGGACAAACAACATTAGTATTGGTGAAGTAGTAATACCCTATTTATTGAGGATATCAAACATATCATGCATCAAATTTTGGTTCATTGCATATCAAAATTAAGTAGATCCTAGTATGACATGCCATATAAAAGGATAGCAATATGTGCAGATCTGGTGAAATGAGTCATACAACTTCTAGTTCATAAGCCATACATCAACAACTATAGCATAATGTACATCATACTGAGCCTAGGTAGCCAAGGAATAATAAGCCGTGCATAAGCATGGAACCTCGTAATTAGTTGGTGTTGTCTACTAGTATTGAGGAACAACCGCAAGAGTGATCTTGTTCATGGAGCATATGCTAACTATTTTCAGCTAGTCAAAACCTTGTCCACATCTGAGCATTTCCACTTCAATCAAAGTTAAGATAAATGACACGGAACCAAGATGTACCCGCAAAAAAAAAAAAGCATGCCTATTGGTGATTACTCCAAGGAAAATAAGGCACCTTAAGAAATGTATGAGTAGACAATAAGTGAAAAATAATATCATCCAAAACCATCTAGACAGTAACTCGGGACAACCGTACCAATTCAAATTTACAGAGTAAGAAACTACAAATTTTGCAATTATAGTTCTGCATAATCTTGATGCGCAGTAATTTGTTAGGCTAGAGAAATATACTGTTACATCCATGTGAGCTTCAAGAAAAAAAAAACTCTCAAAAGAAGATCCTGCAGGACTGAATTGACTCTGTTGTCAAACTGAGTTCCTTGATTCTTATTCTGCAGCAGATTTTCTTCTAGAATGAAGTCCTCCACAAACTAAACACTCAATACTTTGAAGGCAAAGAAGAAACACAATACAGTTTCACAAAACCTAGATAAGTTATTTTGAATAAACAGAAAAAAGAACTATGAAAATTGAAAATAACTTTATTTTAAATTCGAGCTTACCTTGATCGCAGTTAAGAACATTAGGTTGATACAACAGCTACTTATAGACTTGGCATAGCTCGTCCTCTGACTTGTGGATGAATTCTTGTTGATAATATTAATTGTTATTAACAGAATTGTCCTGAAGGTCCCATTTTCCATCTCCAAGCTTTGTTGTCCCAGTCCACTTTAAAAGAAAAAGCGGCATTGTTCATCTATAGGACTGTACTACAGACGCGGATATCAGTGCAAGAACATAATATTATCAGATACATTATCCTCTATAGCTCTACCATCTGATCATGTAAATTTACACTATACATTTTTACACGGAAATGAGGATAGCTCGTTTTGCCTGATACAACAGATCAAACAAAGTTATAACTGAATGTGTATTAAATCAAGAAAAACATGAAGAATTAGAAGGGGGGGGGGGAGTGTACCTGATACAACGAACAGATCAATTCAACCTCTAGTTCAATGTGTAAATTTGTAGGAGGAAGGTGACAGCTCAACTTGGCCATGGAGAGGAAGTGATGGCAGCAACACCACTGCATGTTCCTTGTGGTGACACTCCTGAGGGAAAGGCCGCGACGCTTGAATGGAGAGTGCAGCCATGGCACTGCGCACCGAGAAAATATCTGTTGTTGCTGTCGCCCCCGATCTGCGTTCTTGTGAGGGTGTGGACGGAGGGCAGAACAGGAACCTCAAGCTCATCGCCACCACTGCTATCATTCGTGTGGCGCGGACGGCGGAGTGGCAAGATGGAAGGCGGATGGAGGAGGCATGGTGGAGGTGGAGATAGTGGCAGCGGCTGCTCTGTACCTAGTTTTGCATGTATAGATCACGAGGCCCCGCAACCTGCCGGGATAAGAAGCGGAACGGGTAGAGCTTGAGGCATGGTGGAGGTGGAGGTATGCGGATGAAGGTCTAGGCAGGGAGCAAAGAGTAACGTACCTCCATTGGTCGCCGTCGACGAAAGGGGCCACCTC